CTGCATTCCTGAACAATTTTAACATTTCTGCCTGAGCCCCCGTGTCAAAATTCGCAAATAATTGATATGTAATGTTTCACGGTAAATATAAAAATATTGGTATTAGTATTGGCGTAACGTTCGATGACATCAGAAAATTACGGCTCTTCTGATTGGCTCTTCAATATAAGACAACCAATAGCAAAATACGATGCAAGTGTTTACCCACCGTTCAGCCGGTGGCTGGACATTAAGTCATTTTTCTTTACTGCCGGTAAACTGGTGGTCAGGGCTCAAGGGGTTTATATTTTTCTTTTTCATATTCTTTCACACTGAGTAACTTATTGCGTGGTAGTGGCTTTGTTGTCTTGTTTGGAATGAAAGGATTAAAAGAAAAACAAGTGTCTTTGAGAAAGACAGAGGAGAACATTTGTCAGATCTTCAATTCTTTAAACTTGTTATCTCCTAAAAACCGCTGTCTAACGAACATGACTTATTTCTGGACACGGCTAATTTAAAACTCAAAGCAGTTGAAAGAAATACAAACAATTTGATATTTGAATGTCGCTGTTTATGAGCAAACTTCTCGAAATGTGAATCGAGTCATCTATTCAAGAGTTCTTCAATCGCATTCATAGTGGGTGGCGGGTCAGATCCCAAAAACAGAAATCCGTAGTTGTCATACTAAATGTCATAACTATGTCCACAAATCCAAAGTTAGAACTACCAGAGTGTAAATCAAAAGAGGCTTTAAAAAAAAAAAAAAAAAAAAAAAGCCTAGTAACGATGTCGTCAAACTGGCCAGCACAACTTGACTCTTCCATTCATGATTGAGTGATTGATCTTTGTTTAACGGCACATCAGCTCCTTATGGGTCATTTTAATGCCGAAATTGAATTTTCTTGGGAACTTTAAAGTTATAAAATATAAGAGTTATTCTGCTTTCCCAGTTGCATACATGGTAGATGGTATACATTTTTTTTTGTATATACATGTTTGTGTGGACACGGTTACGAGAGGCGTTGATGTGTGTTTTATATCTTTTGGAATACAGTTTGATTACTGATTAACTATTTGCCCACAGCTGGGACCCTAACAGGTGCTACCACGCCGGGTCAGGGTGGACCTTAGAACACCAGCAATTAAGATGTGGTTCCACACTCTTCGAGACTTTCTGATCAAAGGCCTTGCTGCTGGACGTATTTTATCCAAGGGCCTTGCTGCTGGACGTATTTTATCCAAGGGCCTTGCTGCTGGACGTATTTTATCCAAGGGCCTTGCTGCTGGACGTATTTTATCCAAGGGCCTTGCTGCTGGACGTATTTTATCCAAGGGCCTTGCTGCTGGACGTATTTTATCCAAGGGCCTTGCTGCTGGACGTATTTTATCGTCTTACCCAGGACGCTGTTGTAGTTTATCGTCACACCCAGAACGACTTCTCGGGTGTGAATAAAACTAACTTTCACTTTACTCTATGCATAGAGGCTCGAAATAAATATATTTATTTCCTTTTCACATACGTATCTAATTTATTACTAGCCTCCTCATTTACATACTAGCAACAGCCACAACCACCACTGGAAGAAATCAATATGTATATTCACGTGTAAGCTTTCTAGTTCATACGCTACGAAAAACTAAACAAGGTAATACTTGTATGTACAGAAACACCTTCAATACGCTACCAGCCACAGTGATTTCAGATTTGGTTTGGTTAATGGCATATCAACACTTTATGAGTCATTAAATACCGAAATTTAATTTTCTTTTTTTTGAGGTTTGGTAATTTTTTTTCAATAATGTAGTGCTGGTAATTATAAAAAATACTTTAGAAAAATTATCACAATTTACATTATTCGGACTATTATTACAAAATTTCGTCCATTGTATGCTCCGGCCTTCTTCAGGTGATTGGAAAGTAGAACTGAACCCTTTATTTCGCTCACTGGGGTAGACTGTTCTAGTTCCACAAGGACACATGGCACAGTGGATAAAGGAGTTGGTTAGATCTAGTTACAGGACCCAAAAAGTGTGAGTTCAATACCTGGTTAAGGCAGTGGAGAACTTGGAGAGGGGAATTAACAGGAGATAACTGACATCCATTAAACATGGCACGTGGAACTAGAACAGTCTACCCCTGCGAGCGAAATAATGGGTTCAGTTCTACTTTCCAATCACCTGAAGAAGGCCGGAGCGTACAACGGCCGTAACGTTGTAATGAATATGGCGACAAAGATGACAATAGACCGAATAATGTAAATAGTGTACATAATAGCTCATCTCAGAAATATAGACAGATAATAATAAGAATTATTATTATTATATTATTAAAATTATTGATGTCAAATTTTAATTTTATAATTTTTCGTTAAAAAACGTTGTAATGAATATGGCGACAAAGATAAAGACAATAGTCCGAATAATGTAAATAGTGAACGTGATACCTCATCTCAGAAATGTAAACAGATACTGAAAAATTATCAATAATGCATTTTCATAGTAAAAACAAGAAAAAAAATTAAATATTTTCATGTTTTGACCAGAGTTTGTGGATTTAGTATTTGCTCATAGCCGTGATCTTAACAGGTGTTATTACCCCGGATTAGAGAGGTTTTGCTGCCGAATGTAGTTTGTTGTCATACCCTGGACAAATGATGTCAATAGTTGCTTGCGTGATGACCATTTTGCAGTGCGATAAGCGCGAATGTTATACAAATCAATTCACTGACAAATAGAAACTTAATTTTCAGAAGAATGACAGGCGTATCAACACCCGAGCAGATAATTAAACCACTTCCTGTACGTCATGTCGTTCAATTATTTAGAAAACTCCGTATTCAGAGCGGGAATCCATGACAAAACACGAAGTGGACAAAATTCCACTCCTATATTATAAGATTAGCTGTAAAAGCTGTTATCCTGTTAACATATGTTTGGTTTGCTTTACAGCATATCAACCTCAATGGGTTATTTAAGCCTTTGAGAGCTGACCACCGCTTTACCGCTGGTAGAGAAAAATGGCTTAATGCCCAACCACCGGTTGAATGGTAGGTAAACACTTGTAACTATTTGTATATCTACTGTGAAACATTAAATACCAGTTATTGGCGAATTTTAGCTCAGGACCTCAGGCAGAAGGGTTCAAATTGTTCAGGAACACGAGGCCCAAATGGTTAATGCTGGTAATATTTTTTCAAAATGTATTTTATTATGTTTCGACGATCCTTGTCGGAACGGTTTTATTCCGTGCTAAAGGAATAGATAAGTAACACCAAGTGGATACTAGAAGAAAGGTTTATTGTACACAACCAGTACAATATGAAATACAGTACAGTTATAGACAAAGGTCAAACTAGTAGTGAGTGCCACTAATTGGAAGGTCAGACGTGCGAGGGTCTTCTCTCGCACTCTCTCTCCTACTCCCTCCAATCTCTCGTAGACAGTTGACTTTATAGGTACTTACTACCTATAGTGTAATTATTCATGAGGATGACGGGCTATTCCATTACATCATATTTCTTGTAATATTTTCCCCTAAAATGTATTGCTGGTAATAATTTGTTCTTCGAAAATTTATTGTTGGTATTAAAACCATATATATATATATATATATATATATATATGCACCAGTTTGGGGGTTAACTATTAGCCCATAGAACCCTAACAGATGCTACCACCCTGAGTCAGGGTGGACCTGGGAACACCAGCAATTAAGAGGTTGTTCCAGGCTCCTCAAAACCTGATCAGAGGCCTTGCTATTGGATGTAGTTTATCGTCTTGCCCAGGACGAATCCTCATCTGTGAGTGTACAGGAGTTTCTGCAGGGTGTTGGAGCATTCAACTGTTTCAAGTGAGCATTCAGTATAATATATATATATATATATATATATATATATATATATATATATATATATATATATGAAATTGTGTTGTCTCAATTTGACATTGGAGTGTATATATTGCATATATCAGTGTAGATACTGGATATTTTAATTATTTTTCTCTTAATTTTTACATTCAAATTTGAATTGTAATTTCTTTAAATTTCCAATGTTAAATTTGTTTCTTTTTTATTTATGTGACTGGGATTTTGTTTGCTTTTGCGAGAAGAGGCTGGAATTTTGTCCTGTGTACTTCACAATGACAATACATCATGTTATAATAAATTCAATATAATATTAATTCCATTAGAATGGTAAAACAGCACGAAAAACAGAATTCAAATAACCGTCGAGGGTAATACGCTTGTGAATATTTCCGGTTCTACGATGTCATAACTTTTTTTTCATTCAGATTTTTGATTCGTCTTTCACGAGAGTATTTTTTTTTCACCAGCTCAGCGCATTCAGATTAACTTCTGAGAATTCTTGAGACCATTAATATCAAGTATCAGTAGCCTTCTCTCAGCAGAACAAATGGCTAGTGGGTCTTAATATAATCTGTGATTTATACTGATTTTTTTTTCTAGGAGTATTTTTTCATTTTTAGTAGCCATGCCATGCATATATTTATCTATTTTGTCCTCTATTGAGCATTGAAGAGTGATAACCAGACCACCTATTATTTTGTTATCTTCTCAAGCCACCACTTTATGATGAGGTTTTTTTTTTGGTATTTTTTCTACTTATCCTTCTTCCTTCCTTTGGTTTTTTTAATTTAAATACCGTGTGGTGGGGGGGGGATTACAAAATTTTATTAGGACTTTAAAACCGGATGTGTGTGTGAGTATATATATATATATATATATATACACACACACACACATCATTCCTTACATTCACTTAAGTTCTTTGGCAAAAAGATGTAAGATTTTGAGAAGTCAGATGTTTCTCCACAGAGAATGATGAAAGGATAGAGAAGACAGAGAATGTAGGGAAAAGGACCAGTGTTAGGATAGCACTGGAATGATGAAGGGAAAAGTGAAGGCAGATGGTTAAAAAGAAGCAGTAGGTGGCAGAGGCAGATGATTCTAGATACATGCAGGGAGAGAGAGAGAGAGCAATAATTGAAGAGGGAAAATATCAGAAAATAAGTGAAATAAAAAGAACAGTTATGTCTGAAGGGGAATGAGAGAGAGAGGGGGAATGAGAGAGAGAGAGGGGGAATGAGAGAGAGAGGGGAATGAGAGAGAGAGAGAGGGGAATGAGAGAGAGAGAGAGGGGAATGAGAGAGAGAGAGAGGGGAATGAGAGAGAGAGAGAGGGGAAGAGAGAGAGAGAGAGAGAGGGAATGAGAGAGAGAGAGGGGAATGAGAGAGAGAGAGAGAGAGGGGAATGAGAGAGAAGGAAAGGTGGGACAGAAACAGTCATTGAATAAGAGAGAAATCTTAGAGCAAAAAAGAACAATTATATCTGAGGTCAAAGAGAAGAAAAAGAATAAATTAAATAATAGAAAATGAAGAGGGGGCGTGTGTGTGAGAGAGAGAGAGAGAGAGAGATCTTACTGATAAAGAAAATAGGAAAACGTTGGAAAGAAAAGCATCAAGACAGAATGTGAAGGAGAAAAATGTCTATATAGTGAAGAATGTTAATTATAACCGGACGTACATCTGCAAGTTGTTCCCTGGCTTAGCGCAAGCGCAGAGCCCCTGGGTGAAAACCTACAAACCCAAGCTGAAGCAGCTTGGTGTGTGTCTCTACTTTCGTCCACCATTCTTCTCTGAACACAACATTTATAACGTTTCTCCTTTCTCTTTCCCCCAGGTTCCTTTTGGAAAGATACGTGCAAATATATTTTAGAAGCATGTTAGAAATTCAACGGGCTGGCAAACACAGACTTCCATCCCATGACGATGAAAATAATGGTATGACTTTTCCAAGACGCTTTCTGGAAAATACATTAGGTTTTAAATTTAGTTCCAGTAATGATGCTTTTTGGTAAGAGGAAAAAAAAATAAAACATGAGGAAGACAAAGAATACATCTTGTGATTTATCTGAAAAAGCAATTTGTGGTCGAGCTAAAATTACAGAACTTTATTTGCTCCCCAAACATTATCAGAAATCATTTGTGTTACCTGCTTACTTCAATGACCCACCTGAAATATATAGTTGCCTTATATTAACTTTGTGATGGTGAGTATATGTACTTTGGTCCACAGAATGATGGTCATAAATGAACATCTGAAAGTATTTTGTCTTTTTCTTTTTAAACAGCAAAATTTACATCTGGTATTTCCTTACAAGAACTTAAACATTCTCTTTTTTTTTTTTACCAAGATAAGGGAATTGTTCAAAATTCATTAGTAATATAACAGATAAAATACATGGCAGTCCAGGAAATCTGTTTCCTTACAATATTTCCTGTCATATTTGCTTAGTTTCTGGAAGACACCTTTACACAATTTGTCTGTGCCTTTTCATGTAAGCATTTTTTCCCAAGAATTTAAACATTAATTTGATTTGATTGGTGTTAGGTTTAACAAATACTGAATAAAGATTTAATCAAATTGTGACACTTTTTTTTTTTTTTAAAGCACTTCACTCCCCAGCAAGGCAATGATACTACTAACGCACAAAGGGTTACTGGGAGTGAAAGAGAATGCGAACACTTGATAAAGGACAATAAAAGAAGAAATCATTAACACATCAAGCACGGCAATAGTTTCAGATCAGAAGGATTCTCAGAGTTCTTAAAAATAAAAAATAAAAACTACAAAGAGGGTTTTCAACAAGCTGGAAACAGAAATGGCAAAGGTTTGCTTGGAAATTATTATTATTATCATTTTCTTTTATTTCTGTTGTGTGTTTGCCTGTATGTGTGCGTATTACTTTCCGGGTCCCAACCAGAGACATAAGGTCAGAAATGGCATCATATCATTTTCCACTGAGCATTTTTATTTTTATTTTTTTTAAACAAAACAAACTAAGGTCACACACATTTTACATAGATAAACCCTTTGGTAAGGTGTGAGCTGTAAATGTGAGTACGATTTTTTTGTATTTATTTAAGACTTGGGCTACCAGGGATCCCGTCAATGAAACTATCAGAACCTTTTTCTAGTCGAACCGAATTATTATTTCATTTTGAAAGCATTGAAATGTAACCCTTTCAGCCCTTACCACTGCTTTACTGGTGATAGTGAAAAATGACAATGGTTGAAAAAAAATGACAATGCTCAGCTACCAGTTGAATGGTGGGTAAACACTTGTGACCATTTTTATATCTACCGTGAAATATTACATACCAATTATTTGCGAATTTTCACTCAGGAGCTCAGAAAATCATTAACACAACAAGCAAGACAATAATTTCAGATCAGAAGGATCCCCCAAAGTTCTTAAGAATTGTAGAAAAATCACGCATTCAAGATAAACACTTAGTTGTGGAGCAAGCTAAGTGAATAATAATCCAACCTTTAGAAAGAGAGCTATTTATGTTGCCATGGAGCATCTCATTGTGCTAAAGTGGGATAGTCCATTGTTATGTGATTGGCTGCTGGTACCTGAGTGAGGTATTTTCTATATAAATACCAGCTTGATTCATCAGTTAATTTGCAGGGTTTGTATTAAGTTCATCCCCTAGTATATTGTTGTATTTTCGATTGACGTGTGCATCGTGATTGGGAAAAAAAGTGAACGGTTAGATTTTGTTTTTGTTTGAAAATTTTTATTTTCACACCTTTTTGTTGTACGTTTTTGAGTTTGTGCATTGCTTTTGATTTCTTTATTTTGACCCTTCGTTTTCGTTTAAATTATTTTTCGTTTTGAACTGTTGATTTGATTTTGTTTTTTTTTCACGTGTTGTTTTTACACACAGTTTCTATTTTAAACTTGGTTTTAGTTTGTCTGTTAATTATTGTTCTTAACAAAAGAAAAAAAGAAGAACGTAAAGGCGAACCTTTTTTTTTTTTCGTGCAACTGCCGTGGGAGAAATCCCCATGGCGGACATTCTTCAAGCTACACCGTCTCCTACGGTGCAAACTGGACACACCGTCGCCACTAAAAACATCGGCCTGGACGGGAGAAGTCCGAAAAGGAAGAACGCCGCTTACTATCAGGAAAAAAAGAGAAATATGGTGAATTCGTTGAATTCCTGACGATCCAAGAAGCATTCGATGGAGTAAAACAAAAACCATCTCCTTCTGACAGCAGATGTGAAGAGCCGGAAATTGGCTGGCTTCAGTAGGGAAAGTATGGAGGAGGCACTCAGAAGCCTGAAAATTGCTCCCAAATTATTGGCCAGAAGATCAAATGCCATGTGGGACATCCTCCTAGCTACAGAGCAGGAAGCCAACAACTGTCAGCAAGCATACTGCAAACAACTTCAATTCGTATGCAGACGGAATATATGGGCACCCGCCGAACAAAGATCACGGTGCATGGGGTGCCTATAGACATTGGAGCAGACAGGATGGGAGGATTCTTTTTTGTCGCCTGTGACTATAAATCTGGCATAGCCACGGGTGACATGGCCCTGCAAGTCATTCTGGACAGGGAGGCTTTTAGGGACATTCCCAATACTCTCATATGCCGTGAAAAGAGGATGCTGGTGGTGGTGGAGGGACGTAAGCCATTTTGTTGGTCATGGTGTTCTGGGACACATGGCCAAGGTGTGCCCAGGTAAAAGGGTACAGCCTCCACCCCCTCCAGCTACAAAACCAACAACTGCAGTAGCAACAGCATCAGAAACAGTAACATCATCAGGAAAGGCCTCGGATGGGGAATGGGTGAAGGTAAATTAAGCAGCCGCCCAAACAGCAGCAGCCACAACAAGAGAAGGGCAGCCCCAAGAAGCCACAAAAGAAGGGCAGCCCCAAGAAGCCACAACAAAGAGAAGGGCAGCCCCAAGAAGCTGCCGCTGAAAAGCAACAACAAACCCAAAAAATGGAACAGCAAAGGCAAAAGTAGCGAAACAAACAAATCGAGAGGGGAGATTGGAAATGCCCCCACCACGCTCTTTCGTCAAAAAGAGGGAGGGATGAAGAGGACGAGGAGATCCTGACCAAAAAGAAAAGTGTATGGGAGAATTAGGGAGAGAGAAACAACAGCATCAAGATCACCATCTCGTCCTACTACATCAGAAGAAGCGGAAGTAACAAAGGTTTACCCAACCCACTACCCAACTTGAAGTCATCTACCCAACCACCTTCTACTACTCCCCACCGTCAACTTCAACCCCGCCACACCCTTTGAAAAAACTTTGATTTTAGAGTGGACAGGGAGGCGGAGAGGGATCTTTCGACACAGAGAAAGACACTCTTGGGGCCTCTCTTCAAAGTTACGTCTGTGGACGGGAAGTCTACGGAAGATCCAAGAAACTTTCCCCCGAGCTGGGGGGTGATTACATGTATACGAGATACAGGGAAGCACCTGAAGGTTTGGGGCCCCCAAGAGGCCAAGGATGCCTTCCTGAGATCCGGAGCAGACAGGCACACCAAACTTGAAAAAATTATTCACCTACTGTGCAGGGAGGGTCCCAGTATGTCTCCACCCCTCTCTTTACAGGGGTTACCCCATGGATGTCTCGGCGGGATTGTCTCGGATGGACGGATTATTGGGACAATCCGTCGGGGTCCTTAACCCGCAGAAATGTGAAATTTTTTTTCTTTGCAGGCCTAGAAAATGGAAACCAAGTTAGCGACGTTAAATGTGAAGGGCTTAAGGGATCGAGGTAAGGCTGCCCGCCTGCTCCGGGACCTTCTGTCCCATGAATGTTGCCGCGATCGAAGAGACACACTTTGTTTGCAGTGCCGATGCGTGTGTGCTGGAGAACGACTTTGTCGTCTATTCAGCATATGGGGACCAGTTTGCCAGAGGGTTTCTTTGCTTGTCAGACGGACTCTTGATGCGAAGGTGGACCTTGTGCATACCGATGCCGAGGCCGGTTGATCGTGGTCGATATTGCCGTGAAAAGTGGTTCGTTTCGAGTCGTTGCGGTTTATGCGCCCAATGACCAGGAGGAGCGGGTCTCGTTTTTTCGGCAGTTGGGGCCGTTCCTGGTTGATTCAACGCGCCTTGTTTTAATGGGGGACTGGAATGCCATCCTGGACTCCAAGTTAGACAGGGGGTGGGGAGCTAGTGGGAGAAGGGCGATTTCCTGGTTGATCTGATCGACGATTATGGTCTCGTCGATGAATACCGGGTCGATCATCCGGGGGGAAAAATGTGGACGTGGGCTCTTAATTGGCCTTCTGACAAGGTGGAAACCTTGACAGGATGTTAGTTAGAAGAGCCTTTACGTTCCACTGGGTAGGCTACACGGACCACAAACTCGTTTGTGCCCGGGTGATAGACCATAGGCCTAGAATGGCTGGCTACTGGAAGTTCAATCTGTCTTTACTGGACAGGCAGGACTTCCGGGAGCAGCTAATCAGATTAGTGCAGCGGGAGCTAGTGGGGGCGGTTATCGGGAATAAGTGGTGGGAGCGTCTTAAGTCTAGTATTAGGTCTTTCACCACTGATTTCAGAAACGGCTCGCTCTAGATAGAGCTGAAAAGGTGAAGACACTTAAAGCTAGTTACACCCGGGCGGTGGCTGGGGGGATCCCCTAGAGATAGCCTTAGCTAGGGCGGCCCTGGATCGTTTGAATAGCGAGCGGTACATGGGCCAGGTAATTAGACATAAGTTAAGCAAGATGTCTTCCGAAGCTGTGAACTTGGGCGCAGATCTGCGCAGGGAAGAGGTTCGTCGAGGTGGCGAGCGTTACATTCGTGAAGTCGAGTCCCCGGAGGGGCATACTCTTCGGGCCACTGACGATGTGCGAGGCGTTTCGGCGACATTTCGAGAGCTGGTTTACTAAGGAGCCTGGTCTCCGTGACGAGGAGTTTCGTAGCTATTTGGTTGACTTTCCTCGGCTTTCGCCGACTGAAGCGGCTAGCTGCGAGGGAGAGATCACAGAGTGCGAAGTCTACGCGGTATTGAAGAAGGTCGGCAGAGGCAAGTCGCCCGGTCTGGATGGTTTGCCCTATGAATTGTTTGAGGCTGTCGCACATCTTTGTTCCGATTTTGACAGCAGTGTTCAACAACTGGTTTCGGTCGGGGTCCATCCCCAATCGGATCACCAGGGGTGTGATCACTCTGTTGAAAAAGGGCAAAGGTGGTGGGGAAGCTAGATGATTACAGGCCCATAACTCTGCTAAACACAGAGTTAAAGATTATGGCCAAGATCCTGCAGGAGCGTTTGCAGTCAGTTGCCGAGTCTCTGTTGGGACCTGAGCAGACTTGTTCTGTGAGGGCCGAACAATTCAGAGCAACCTGCATCTGATCCGCACGATCATAGAGGGCGTAAAAGACGACGAAGAAGCCGCGCTGATCAATTTGGATCAGTCAAGGCATTTGATAGGGGTTGACCATCGCTACCTTGCTACTGTCCTGCAGGCCGCTGGATTCGCACCCAACTTCTGCCGCTGGATTAGCCTCCTGTATCGCTCCCCCAGTGCTGTGGTACAGGTGAACGGAAGGTTGTCGGACGCGTTCGTGCTGTCTAGGTCGGTTCGTCAGGGTTGTCCGCTGTCGCCTCTCCTTTATGCTTTGGCGTTGGAGCCTCTCCTTCGCCGGCTGAAGGACGAGACCGGCAGTCCGGCCCTACGTGGAATCGCCGTCCCTGGAGGGTCTCGAGCCAGGGTTTCCGCGTACGCCGATGACGTATCTGCTTTCGTGTCGTCCCGCAGCGACATTGAGGCGGTACAGAAGGCGCTTGATCGGTACGAGAAGGTGACAGGGGCCAAGATAAACCGCGACAAGTCGTCCGGCTTGCGGTTAGGTGCCTGGAAGGGGTCGATCTTCCGGGGCTTCGGTTGGACGGACGGTCCTGTCCGCATTCTTGGAGTGTGGTTTGGGCCTGACCTCCAGCTGGAGAAGAATTGGTCTGAAGTACGAGCAAAGGTCGATTTTGCCGGTAAGATTTGGAATCGACGGAGGTTGTCCGTGAAGGGCAGGGCGGAGGTGTGTGTTACATACATTTTCCCCTGATTCTTTATCGATTGTCCGTACTTCCTCTCTGTAAAGACCATTTGCTCGAGCGATCGCTATCCTCCATTTTATGGAGGGGGACGCGTGAACAGGGTCGACAGACGAGTCTGCACTAAACGTCCGTGTCATGGGGGCTGGGAATGCCACACCTGTTGAGTCACATCCGTGCCTCTAGGTTGGCTTTCCTACGCCGCGCATTGACTAGAGGAGATCCGATTCTGGAGGGGATTGTTAGGGACGCCTTCCCAGCCTTACCATCAGTCCCCCATCTCGCGGGTTGAGCGCCGTTGTAAACCCGGGATGAGTCGGATTTCATCCGCGAGTGTCGGTTGGCCTTGAAGGCCATCCCCGGTCCAGTGACCTTTCTCGGCCTAGGAAGGTCTTCTATCGTGGTTTAGTGGAGGGTCGCGCGAAGGATAAGCTACGTGATACGCTCGACTTGTCGGAGGAGGATCGCTCCTATTGGTCAAAGGCGCCAGCGGCGGATTACCTCAGTAACCCTGAGTTTTCGCTTACCTGGCGATTGGCTCGGAATCGGCTGCCTCTCAATGACAAGGCTTTCATATGGGGTTTGGCGGATTTGCCAGACTGTGAACGGTGTGGTCTTGGTTTAGAAGAAACGGCTGCGCACGCCTTCTACCATTGCCCCGGGTCCGCCCCTTATGGGACCATGTCGGCGAGCTGACGGCTCGTTTCGCTCCCGAACAGCTTGTGTCCATTGATCGCGCATATGCGTGTGACAATGTGTCGCCCCAGTATTCCGGGGAGAAACGAATGGTGTTTCTGATGCTGATGGCCACGGCTCGAATGGTGATTTGGACGACGCGAATGGAGGAAGTCTTGCGGGGCAACCGTCTTTCTTATCAGCATCTAATCCAATTCTTTGAGCATCAGCTCAAGATGAAGATTAGATCTGATAGAAAACGATTGCATTCGACAGTCTTCAGCGAAAGGTGGGTAAAAGTAGCAAAGCCTGGT